CATGTCTTTTCAAAAGGTGTGAAAATGGACCAAAATCAATCAAAACCATGGGCTATAGTCCATGCTTTTTGCCTAAAAATGGCCAAAAATGACCTATTTGGCATCCCTCATAAATAATGCATTGACATTTCACAGGCTTTACACTTTTCTTCAAAAGAACTTTTTAATGCATTTTTGCATGAAGCTTTTTTATGGTATATTAATGATTTACCAGGATTGCTCGCGTGCGTTCTAAAATCAAGGATCGTTTGGACGTTTATTGAAGGTTTTCACGGCGGCCATGTTGAAGGAACTTAACAAAAGAATTGTCAATGAATTCTTTTGTTATATCCTCCAACATGTCCGCCTTGTCTTTTGTTATTTAATTCTCTTGGGAATGGTTGAAAACCATTAATTACGTTACCACTGCCATATTGGAGGTATTGATAACAAAACATTTCTCATTAGCAACCTTTGTTAATACCACCAACATGGCCGCCATATTTGTCATTTGATTCTCTTGGGAATGATTGCAAACGGATCTTTCCAACAGACCTTTTCGGCTTGGACATAATGCTTTCCCATTTGAGCCCACCTGTCATCGCCCACTCCGCTACGCGTCGTGCTTCTCCTAACACTCTTCTCTTGTTCTGCCAATCCCTGCGTGCTTCATAACTGCACACAGCACGCGCGCAAGTTTTCTATTTCTTCAGAAGCATTAGTAGAATCGTAAATATATATAAAAAAGTCAGAGTAATAATATTTGATTTCTTTGTCTTGTAAAGACACGCAAACACGGCGCAACTGTTTGCGCATGACGTGATGTTCCCAGCCAATCAAATGCGACTTGTATCGCCACGAGGTTCGTGTATCTTTCTATCCCCCCTCCTCCTCGATTTTGCTTGAGTTACAAATGAAACAACGAAGTCAAGATTAGACATGATAAAATACAGTAAAGGAGTTAACACATCAACCTCGGTTCGCAACCATTGTTTCCTGGTCAGTCAAGTGAAATAAAGAAAGGTCTATAGACCCCTTGCAGTACTTTTGAATGTAGCTCAATCTGGGGAGCAAAACAATAGGTTCCAATTCTCAGGAGATTGGAATTCTTTTGTTTTTTCCCCGACATCGAGCTGCTTTGACGTCACATGCAAGGGGTCTATTGCTGCAAGTAGAGGCTGAGCTTGATAAAATACAGTAAATGTATAAACACATCAAGTCTATCCTCAACTTGGAACCATTGTTTCCTGGTCAATGAAGTGAATTCAAGAAAGGTCTTTTGCTTCAAGTAGAGGCTGAGCTTGACAAAATACAGTAAATGTATAAACACATCAAGTCTATCCTCAACTTGGAACCATTGTTTCCTGGTCACTGAAGTGAATTCAGGAAAGGTCTGAGGATGTTGCTACAAGTAGAGGCTATGCTTGATAAAATATAGTAAATGTATGAACACATCAAGTCCATCAAATTTGAGCCATGGTTTTCTGGTTATTGATGTGAAGTAAGGAAAGGTATATTGCTGCAAGTAGAGGCTGAGCTCGATAAAATACAATAACAGCATAGAAACATCAAGTCTAACCTGGACTTGAATCTATTGTTTTATTCTCATTTTAGCGAATAGCGCTGCGCACAGATTCCAATAAATAGCTTTAAGACTCAGATAAACATTGCATTCAGTATAAACGAACCGATTTTATTATTTTTACTTAAAGTTAGAATAATAACCCAATTAAACAAAGATCTACTGCGATCGGCTATGAAAATTATTTGCTGAAAGCTGAGTATAAGTTTGTTTGTCTGAATTTCGCCTTGTCTCCATTTTTATGACGTCATCCGCGCGCACCACTATTCGGGAAAGGCCCTAGCAAAAACTTTTGTTTTGCAGGAAAGTTGATAAGAGTGACATCATTCAAGAAAAGTCTATCTTCTTGTGTACAAGCCTTAATACATTGGATTCTCCCAATTGATGCACATGTAGGCCTCGTTTTCAAACAAAAAACATAGGGGCCTGGTACCGAAGAATCTCGAGAAATTTGATTGGCTACGACAAACTTGACATACTAAAAACGTGACATCACTTGAGAAAAGTCTATCTCCTTGTGTACAAGCTTTAATACATTGGATTCTCCCAATTGATGCACATGTAGGCCTCGTTTTCAAACAAAAAACATAGGAGCCTGGTACCGAAGAATCTCGAGAAATTTGATTGGCTACGACAAACTTGACATACTACCATAGCTTCCATAGCTTGCGTAACTACTAACGCTTCCACGGAATCCTGGGTATGGAGGATACGATGCGCCCTTGGAACGTTTGACCAGCAGTCGCACTTCTGGAGGACAGTTGCGCAGAATCGAAAGGGCTTCCTGTGAATTAGAATGTTAATGAGTCATTAGTGAATTGGATGTTAAATTTGATTGATCAAACACGGAGATGTATGTTATAAACATAACGTTTGGTTTCCAATTTTCTGTTACTCAGGAATAGACGCCATATTGGAAATATGCCCCAGAAGCCCCAGAATGCACTGCAATGCCACGACGTTGGTATGGATAACATGGTTTGCATTGCATTAGATGGTTTGGTGCATGCATTCTTCAGGTTTAGTTTAAAGTAATAAACCTAAATCAATACTGGTATTCCTGTGGTGCGCTCAAATCCACCGCTTGTAAAAGGAATATACTCAGTTGGGGAGTCCAAGTCCGGGGTCTAAGTATGACAAAAACACAGGAAGCCCATAAGCTAGGTCACTCACCCTGTAAGAAAGTCTCTCCATACTTTTCCCGTTTACTTGCAAAAGCATATCATTCACTTGAAGTTGTCCCGACAAAGCGGCCGAACCTCCAGGTACTAGCCGTTTAATGTAAATAGGGCCTGGAGAAGAATTATAAAATAAAAAAATATTTTTATAGCTATAAAGCCCTTTAAAGGGCCCCAAGGATGATGACGTTTTATTCCTACACTTACAGAATCCTTTTCGGTAGCTTTTTTTTGCGTTACTTATTTTCGCTATAGACCTCCTCGGCTCTGACGTAATGTTGTCCCATTTCAGACCACGTGTCATTCTCAAAAGTATCATTTCTTTGTTTAAGGTTTGCGCTCGGTTGCACATGAGAAGACACATGAATATGGATACAACTCAAACAAAGAATATTATTCTCAAGGGAATGACACGTAGTCTGAAATGGGACAACATTACGCCGAGCCGGGGTAACACACAACAGGCAGAACGAAGCCTGGGAGTGGATGAACAAACAATGAATGGTGAGATAAAACAAAGAACGCAGCTCACATGTAGAACAATACACATTGTTCACCATAATCCATGCTTTCTTTGTTTTTGTTATTTTGCCCAATCCCAAGCTTCGTTCTACCAGTGGACACCGACCCCCGAGCCGAGGAGGTCTATTGTCGTGTTATTCTCAGAGGAGTTTGACATTTGAATATGAAAAGAGATTCTGAAACGAACTGTGTTAGTTTAGGTATAAAAAGTCATTAGAGACTATTCTAATTCTCTGAAGATCTTACTTGTAGAGAATTCATGCGCTTGCTGTAACGCAAGGAATCAAGTGCTTGTTAGGGATCATGTTGCGTGACATAATTGTCACGCATGTCAAACAATCTTACCTCCCATCTCTCCTCCAGTTAAGCTCATGCCAAGGCCTTGTGGTCCTTTGATTAAATGAACTTCAAATGGCTGATCTTCCATTCCATAATCTAAGAATAAAACATCGAATACTAAGCAGGTTTTTCGATGAGTGGGTAATACATGATTCGTAGACGTAACAGGATGCCGTAACATTGAAACAGCTTCCAAAGGAGAAGCTTATCGTATAATAATCACCTCCCCAAGCGATAGAATCATGATCCCAGTGCGCATGCGTCATTTTAATTCCGCTGTACTGATCATATCACGCGTGAATGCGCTCGTTATTCAACTAATATCATCTCTCACTTTCCCTAGTGAATTAACAACTTATATTAATGCGCATGCGTTGTCTAACATACCGCTGTACTTAATAGATGTCTTAATGTATCAAATATGCGCATGATTGCATCACTTTACTACTTTACTACACGTTTAACGACGCAATGCGCATGCGTGGAGTTACATACCGCTGTACTGAACAGATCCTGTATGGGTATAACCGCTGTCCATAGAACTTGGCAGCTGCGTGTTGATGTGGTCTTCGGGAGCACATTTCTCGACAACTAGTTGAGCGATGACAGGAGAATTACGAAGTTGATCAACAGCCTTGGAATTAAACAATAAAAGCAAATATTAACTTTATCGAGCGTAATATTCTAAAACTACGTCTGGGCCAGTTTGTATCAAAGCCATGGCATGGCACACGACATTCAACTCACGTGTTGAGAGAGCAACACACCAACTACATCAAACGGACTCAACTTAAATACTAGTTTGGGCGAGGGGAAAGAAAGCAAGATATTAACTTAATGAAACTGAATAAGATGCTTATAAAAATGGTATTTACCTCTTGTCGTGTGGCTCTCGTTAGATTGATGTTATTGACTGCCACGATTCGATCTCCCACGCCTATCCTACCGTCCATTGCCGCTGCTCCATTTGGGTTGATTGACTTGACGAAAATACCTCCACAGTCTGGTCCACCCTGCACACGAGAAGATGAACGATTGAGCACACGAAGGCGAAGCAATTTTCAAGAATTAAGAAGGATAGGAAAGGAAGCATTTGGGTAAAAAGGTAGGTAAGCAGAGGAGGGAGTTTAGGGAGGGAACGAGGGACTGGGAGGATCGAGCTAATGAGGTAGTAAGAATGGAAAAACAGAAGGAAGGAAGGAAGGAAAGAAGGAAGGAGGAAGGGAGGGAGGGAGGGAGG